AAGAGAAATAAAACCAACCGCAACAATAAACCTTCCACACTTTCACTTCATTCGATTATGATTCGACGTGAATGGTATTCATCACCAGGTTTGGTTTTGGGAAGACACAAATGGGTGTCTATAGAAGCCCCCACTTTGAATGAGTTTGGAGAAACGCAAGTTTCGAAAACAAAAGTCAAAGTATCGATAGGGACGGAGAATGATTCAAAACATTACTTGATCCTAAATAACTCTTGTAACGCCGATACCTTCAAACTAGCATTAGTTAAACAGATACGAGAGTTAAGAAACGCGTATCTTGCACCGTCGAGCACACGTCTCTGTGAGTACCCTATTTTTTGTGTTTGCTGTTGTGACAACCTTCCACAAGCTAGGGAATGCCATAATGCTGCTTTTGACGATCTTCCTTAAGCTAGTGGATACCGCTTGAAGACTGCTACGCTTGTAACTGCCTCCAATTTCCGCTGTGATAGTGTAGGCGTCGCTCAAAGTGCGCCTACGTAAAAGCATGTGTGAATATGCTTGGCACTCATAGGAAGTGGGAATTCACATATACAATTAGGGTCAAGGAAAGTAGGGAGCCACCAACAAGTTTTTAAGGAACTTGTAAACCGTTCACGGATCATTTAAGGCAACCACGAATAAAGGGACAACGATAGGCAACAACAATTGACCCATGAAGGTTACACCCCATTCGTAATCCATAAGATTACAAACTCCATATGGTTCGGAACCACGAAAGGAGGATCGGGGATGATGGTATGAAGTGAGTCATGGAGTCACATTCGCCCATATTGGCCTCTACTCGATTCTTATAGTGAAAAGTGATTCTTGCGATCTCAAAGGCATACAAACAGAGATTCAATTCGCTCCAAACTATTATTAGGCTAAATTGGTTGGATATGAATGCAACATATAATTCTAAAATATTAGTGATCACTTGATTTAACAACAAGATTAAAAAGGATCCTAAACCGGTTGTCCAAATTATCTTATTACGCGTGATTTTCAATTACATATTCCCTGTAAGCATGCAATATGGTGATCATAAAAAATATAATAGAATTCCATACAAACAGAGATTCAATTCGCTCCAAACTATTATGAGGCTAAATTGGTTGGATATTAATGCAACATATAATTCTAAAATATTAGTGATCACTTGATTTAACAACAAGATTAAAAAGGATCCTAAACCGGTTGTCCAAATTATCTTATTAGGCGTGATTTTCAATTACATATTCCCTTTAAGCATGCAATATGGTGATCATAGAAAATATAATAGAATTATCATTAATATTGGAAGCAATTTAACAATAAATCCAACAACATAAAATCGTTTGCTTGCAACTATAAAATAATAAACGAGTTAGTAACTTCAAGGAAATGATAATAAAACGATAATTAAATTAAATTAAATTAAATAGAGTTGATTTGGGGCCAAACCCTCAAACAGTTCTACCTTTCACGCCTTGGCTTAAGGACAGAACCGCAAGTAAAGTATGGACTCCTTGGAGTGCTTGAAGAAGGAATTTTGAAAGAAGAAGGGTAAGCTAGTGTTTGGGCTAGAGAATAGAGGAGAGAAGAATAGAGAATTAATTGATGCCCCGTACATCAGAAATGAGGGGGTATTTATAGAAAAAATGTGCTGAGGGAACACACGGAACCCTAAAATATTACACCGCGACACGGTAGAGGTCACCGTGACACGGGGAATCCCACCGTCAGACGGGGAACATTCCCGTGACACGGTGGACAGCTGTGTGACGCGGGAAATATTTAGGGTACGGGGAATAAAATGCGTGAAGGATTTATGCGGAAAGGACACGGAATTGCCCCGTGTCACAGCAGGGGCACTGTGTCACGGGGAATCCCACCATCAGACGGGGAACATTCCCGTGACACGGTGGACTTCTACCGTGACGCGAGATCCTGTAGTCTATTTTTCCGTCTAAATTCATTTTTAACCCTAATTTCGTTCAGTATTTTTAAGTGCCGATTGATAATTTCGGGCCATTTCTGATTTATTATTATTAATTAGGCTAAAATAAATAAATAAAATAAATAAAAGGTTTTGGCCAAAATAATAAAATAAAAAGGTTTGGGCTGAAATTAAAAAAAAGAACTATGCTTTGACTAAACATCAAGACCGATCCATGGACTATTCAAAATATTGAATTTAATTAAACAAGATTTTTTAAGCACTCTCGGGATTAAATACTGAACCCGACCAATAGTGGCGGTGAATGGTTGTTCATCATCGGGTTTGGTTTTGGGGAGACATTTTTTTATGTCTACAGAAGCCCCCACTTTGACTGAGTTTGTAGAAACGTCAGTTTTGAATACGATAGTCAAAGTAGTCAATAGGGACGGAGAATGATTTAAGACGTTTTGCGATCCCAAATCACTTTGTATATGCCGATACCTGCAAAATTTTTTTAGTTACACAGACAAATGAGTAAAGGGATAGAATACATATCTGGCACTAGTGTATCGGTGACAAATGAGTTTGGCAGCTTCCTATGCTTGAAGGAATCCACTGGATGATTAATGTGTGTCATTTATGGCACTCATAGGGTAGCCTTTTAGGATGATTTCATCTCCTTTTCATCCTTTCTTATCTTATTTTTGGTCCTTATTCCTTTAGTTCCTTTCTTTCTTTTTTTCTTTGTGTTTTCTTCGTGTTTTCCTTTTATTTGGCCTTTTTTCCCTTTTATTCCTTTCCTTTGTTTGTTCTTGTAGGTACCTAGGAGTTGTCTTTGCAAGGGGATCAAGATGAGCTATATTGACTAAGCAAGGAGGAAGCAATCTACTCGGAGAGGCCTTGGAGAGGGCATCAAGTCCTGCTAGGTTTCCGCGGGCGCGGGCTCGTTTGCACCAAATTGGCCAATTTCGACCAGGTACTCTCCACTGTCTGGCCGCGGGCTCCCCAAGGGTGCGGGTAGATTGGAGAGACCGCGACCCTCTGATCACCCTTTGGGAGCAGGGAATTCGCCGCACCCATGCCGTGGGTGCGGAGGCTTTTTCCGCGGGCGCGGGCTAGAAGACCTACGGGCGCGGGTGATGCCTAGATAGCCCGCGGAGTTTGTTATGGGTTCCGTACCCAAATTCCCTGAGGGCGCGGGGTTTCTGAGAGAGGGCGCGGGGATTCCGTTTTCTTTATTTGCCTATAAATACACTTGTAATTCCTTTTTGAAAACCAACTTTTAGATAATTTTCATTAGCTTAGTTCTAGAGAGAGAAGTTAGAGAGAAGTTAGAGAGAAGTTCTTGGTTTTGGATTTGTATTTCAACATTGGATCAATTGTGCTTGGATTTCTTCATCTTCAATCCATTAATATTAGTGAGAATCTCTTCTTTTAGCTCATCTCTTTACTTGTTTGATCTAGATTCATGTTTGATTGTTTGATTTGCTTGGATTTGAATTTGATATTGTAGTTGATATTATTTTCTCTTGATTTTGATTTAGAATGATGATCGATGCAATTTCTAGTGAATTGTTCTTGAGTTACACCATGATTAGTGAGTAGATTAGTTGCTAGGGAGAAGGGGAAGCATGCTTGATTTGTGCTAGTTGATGATCATTGATTGATTGAATTGTTGCAATTAAATTGGTTGACATAGTTTTGTATGTGATTAATTAGATTAGGAGTGATCAACCTATAAGTTTAATCTATATTGCATTGCAATTCTTAATGACATGAACCATCAATTTGAGAGTTGCTTTAATTGATTGAGTTTGATTGTGAATTTCCTTGATTAGCCATTCATAGTGACCCTTAGCTTGGCCTGTAGGAGATAGCTCTTGAATTATTTTGATTGCTACTATTTTTTGTCCTTTGCAATGCTTGAATCAATTGAATGAACTTTCAATTAGCATGATTATTGAACTTGCATGTGGAACCTACATCCCTAATATTTAGTTTCTTGAATTACTTGATCAATCTAGTTTTGTTACTATAGTACCAACCATTTTCTCACTACAATCTTCGAAGTAGCTTGACTTAGGCTATAGTTAATACCTACTCACTCCTTTGGGTTCGACCCTATACTTGCCTTATACTTGTATTAGGTTTGTTTAGGTTGTTATAAATTGTGTTTCATTTTGGGATAGACAATTGACGACTCGTTTATTCCTCTATCAAAATGACGCCGTTTCTAGGGAGTGATATTGGTGCTTAGCTTTAGTTGTTGAGTCTATTTCACTTTAATTGAACAATACAAAAAAATTTTGTTTCTTAAGGCTACATTTGTAGCCGTGCTACTAATATTTTCATTGAGTTTTGCATGCATAGAGCTCGTAATCGATCCAATGTGCCTTTTGACCTGGAAATCGAAAGGACTCTCTCAAGGAGAAGAATTTCTAGTCGATCCTTGGAATTTAGTTCCTCAAGCGAAGAAGGATTTGATGAAGAACTAAGCATGGGAGAACAACCAAGAGTTGCTTTGAAAGAATAGGGAATTCCCGGTGTGTACAAGTTTGAGAGTGGAATTGCTCCACCTACAACACCGGCGAATGATTTTGAAATTGGGCCGACTATGATCGCTTTGATCTAGAGGAGACAATATAGCGGAGCTAAGAATGAGAGTCCATTGAACCATCTCAAGGAGTTTGAAAAATATTGCAACACTATCAAAGTAAACGGAGTTTCTCAAGAGTTCATCCGGCTAAAGTTGTTTCCCTTTTCTCTCATAGGCCGAGCCTTGGAGTGGTTGGATAAGGAGGTAAAGCCAAATTCCCTAAGAACATGGGACGAAGTCACCAAGGAATTTTTGTCCCGGTTCTATCCACAAAAGAAAACGGCGGAGGCTAGAGCTTTGATTCAAGGGTTCAAGCAAAGACCTAATGAAAGCCTTTACGAAGCATGGGAGAGGTATAATGAGTACCAAAGGGAGTGTCCCCACCACGGAATTCCAACATATCAAGTCATTCAAATTTTCTATGGTGGCCTAAGTCCTCAAGGCAAATTATGCCTTGATGGGGGAGTCGGAGGTCCCATAATGAATAGGACGGAAGAAGAAGTGGTGGACATTATTGAGGATGTTGTGAAGTACTATAGAGATTGGCAAGATGGTGAGAGGGATTCAACTAGCAAGAGTGGCTCTTCAGTGTACTGTATAGACCATCTAAATGCAATCAACAACCTATCCTCACAAATGACAAACTTGGGGAAAGAAATGACCGCAATCAAGGCCAAGTTGGAAAGCTCCTCTTCTTTTCAAGCTTCGAATCTTCCCTCCTAATTTAAGGGGAGAGGTACTCTTTCTAACTCTCAACCCCTCCCTCCTCAAATAATATTCCTAGTGGTTTCTTGTTTTGTGATGCATGTGGATCTTATGATCATGACTCTTGTAATTGCCCTCATGTTTCTCCGGAATGTGGTGATGATTTTTTGATAACAATGAGAGTGAGCATGTGAATTATGTGTCAAATAATAATGTGCAAAGGTTTGATAATCAAAGAGGTCAATGGAATAGGAATTACCAAAACCAAGGTAATTTTGACAACTATAACCAAGGTGGTGGTTATAAGAACCAAGGGAACCAAGGTTCTCATGGTAACTATAACAATCAAGGTTATAGTAGTCAAAATCAAAACCAAAATTATGGTAATCAATACCAAAGTTATGGAAATCATAACCAAGTTAGTGGAAACCATAATCAAGGTTATGGTCAAAATTAAAATAGGGGTAATTGGAACAATCAATGTAGGGGCAATTTTCAAAATAATTCTTCAAGAAGTCCCCCACCCGGATTTGTTCCAAAGACTCAAGGTGAAAATTCCTATTCACAAACTTCTTCTTCTTCTAGGACTAATTTGGAGGAAATAATTGAAAATCAAACCAAGTTGTTGAACACATACATGGCCGTTAGTGACAAGAAATTCAATGAGATGATGACCCATAACTAAATGGTCAAAAACCAAATTTCTCAACTTGCTAATGCTTTGAAAGACCAAGCAAGCCCTTCTTATTTACTTTCCTAAGGCCTAGATCCCAAGAAACCCGTGAATGCTATTGTTACAAGGAGTGGGAAGGTTCTTGAGGAGAGATTACCTAGGAGGAGTGAAGACAAGGAGGTCCCCAAGGAAGCTTTGGTAGAGAATGAGGGAGATAAAGCATCTTTAGATGAGGTTGTGGTTGAGACACCTAGAGAGGTGAGAGTAGAGAAAGAGATTGTGAAACCCAAGCTCCCTTATCCCCAAAAATTCATGAGACACAAATTGGATGAGCAATTTGGGAGATTTATTGATATGCTCAAACAACTTCACCTTTCTCTACCTTTCACCGATGTGATTAACCAAATGCCTAACTATGCCAAATTCCTCAAAGACATTTTGAGTGGGAAAAGGACTTGTGATGTTGTGGAGATCATCAACTTGACTGAGAATTGTAGTGTGATCATCATGAATAAAATGCCACCCAAGTTGAAAGACCCCAGAAACCTCTCCATCCCTTGTGCCATTAACAAGATGCAAATTGATAATGCCCTATGTGACTTAGGAGCTAGTATAAGCCTAATTCCATATTCGGTTTATCAAAGACTTGATCTAGGGGAACTCTTACATTCTAACATTACCCTGCAACTAGCCGATAGGTCAATCAAGTTTCCAAAAGGTAAAGTGGAAGATGTTCCATTGAGGGTTGGGAAGTTTGTGTTCCCGGGGGATTTTGTTGTTCTAGAATTGGATGAAGATGATACCATTCCTATCATTCTAGGTAGACCTTTTCTTGCTACCTCGGGTGCTATGATAGATGTCAAAAGTGAAAAGATTTCCCTTAAGGTAGGAGATGAGGTCATATAATTCGATTTGAATGAAAGCATGAAATATCCAAGTTCTTCTCTTGAAAATTGCATGATGATTGACTCTCTTGATCATGTTGTGTCTTCCATTCATGAGAACTTGCTCACTTTTAACGATGCTCTTGAGAATGTTTTGTTGAACAAAGATAAGCTAGGTGCACCATGCAAGGAGATGGCATTGTATGAGAAATTGCTTAATGGAAGCTTGGAGGAAGTGGATGAACAATTGTGCTTGAAGATCTAAAGCCATGAAGCTTTGCAAGCGGCCACAACAAAAGAAGGTAAAGGTATGCCTATGGTAGAGCTCAAACCTCTACCATCACACCTTAGGTATGAATTCTTAGGCAAAATTTCCATTGACCCCGTAATTGTAAGTGCATCCTTGAGTGAAAGCCAAGCTCAAGCGTTATATTGTGTCTTGAGAAATCACTAAGGTGCTTTGGGCGCTATACTATTGATGATCTTAAGGGTATAAGCCCCTCTTTGTGTACACACCACATAACGCTTGAGGAAGGCATCCTTCCTTCTATTGAACGACAAAGAAAGCTACACCCTCAAATGGGAGAGGTGGTGAAAAAAGAGATCACCAAGCTCTTAGATGCGAGAATCATATTCCCCATCTCAAGCTCTAGGTGGGTCTCTCCCGTTCATGTCGTTCCTAAGAAGGGGGGTATGACCGTAGTCATGAATGAGAGAGGTGAGCTCATTCCAACTAGGACGATCACCGGTTGGAGGATATGTATAGGCTATAGACATCTAAATAAATCCACCAAAAAGGATCACTTTCCCTTCCATTCATTGATCAAATGTTAGATAGACTAACAAGGCACAAGTTCTATTTCTTCCTTGATGGCTATTCGGGATTTTTCCAAATCCCAATCCACCCCGAAGATCAAGAGAAGACAACATTTATATGCCCCTATAGGACCTTTGCTTATAGGAGAATGCCCTTTGGTCTTTGTAATGACCCCGCAACTTTCCAAAGGTGGATGATGAGCATTTTTGGAGACATGTTGGAGGAAGAAATTGAGGTATTTATGGATGATTTCTCCATAGGTGGGGTTTCATTTGAAGACTGCCTTGTGAATCTTGAGAAATGTTTGGCACGGTGTGTGAAGGTTAATCTTTTCTTGAATTGGGAGAAGTACCACGTCATGGTGGAGGAAGGAATAGTGCTTGGACACAAGATCTCTCATAAAGGAATAGAGGTGGATAAGGCCAAGATCGAGGTTATTGAGAAGCTTCCACCTCTGGTGAATGTCAAGGGAGTGAGATCATTTTTAGGACATGCGGGCTTCTATAGAAGATTCATCAAGGATTTCCCACTCATTTCCAAGCCCCTTAATGATCTTCTTCAAAAATACGTTGAGTTTGTTTTTGATGGTAAATGCTTGGAGGCATTTAATAGATTGAAGAAGGCCCATATCTCTACCCCCATTGTTCAAGCCCCAAGATGGGATTTACCCTTTGAATTGATGTGTGATGCTAGTGATTGGGCAATTGGAGGTGTTTTGGGCCAACGTGTGGACAAGAAGCTTTATGTGATTTACTATATGTCCAAGACACTAAATGGGGCCCAAAAGAATTACACAACAATGGAAAAAGAATTCTTGGCCATTGTTCACTCTTTTGAGAAATTCCGATGTTATTTGTTGGGTTCCAAGACCGTTGTGTTCACGGATCATGCGGCTCTCAAGTATCCCTTTGCCAAGAAAGAGTCCAAGCCAAGGTTGATTCGTTGGGTGCTTGAATTACAAACTTTTAAAATAGAGATTAGGGATAAGAAGGGTGCAGAAACTGTTGTGGCGGACCATCTTTCTCGCCTTGAGGGTGATCAAATTCATGATGATGGTTTACCAATTGAAGACAGAGTGCTTGATGATGTCTTGTATGCCATTAAGGTTAAAGAGCTCCCATGGTATGCCAACTTGGTGAACTTTCTAGCTTGTGGGGAGTTTCCACCTTCTTTCTCCAAGAACCAACGGAAGAAACTCAAGAGGGAGGAAAGACATTACTTGTGGGATGATCCCATCTTGTATAAACGAGGGGTTGATGTCTTTCTTAGGCGTTGTGTTCCGAAGGAAGAGGTGCCTAGTGTTCTAAAGATGTGCCATTCGGATCCTAGTGGTGGCCATATGGGTGTTTCCAAAACCGCCACTAAGATTCTTCAATGTGGCTTGTGGTGGCCTCATCTCTTCAAGGATTCATGGGGCTTTGTAAAGTCATGTGACCGATGTCAAAGAGTTTGGAATATCTTCAAGCGGAATGAAATGCCTCAACAACCTATTCTTGAGTTGGAGGTGTTCGATGTATGGGGGATTGACTTCATGGGACCATTCCCATCTTCATATGGGAATCAATTCATACTTGTGGCTGTGGACAATGTTTCTAAGTGGGTTGAGGCCATTGCCCCAACAAATGACCACAAAGTAGTGTTGAAGTTGTTCAAAAAAATCATCTTCCCAAGGTTTGGTGTGCCTAAGGCTGTGATAAGTGATAACGGTTCTCATTTTGTTCACAATGCCTTCCAAAAGATGTTGAGGAAACATGGAGTTCATCAACGGTTCGGCCTTCCATATCATCCTCAAACGAGTGGCCAAATCGAGGTCTCGAATCGTCAAATAAAGATTATTCTTGAGAAGACGGTTGCAAGGAATAGAAAGGATTGGTCAGACAAGTTAGATGATGCTCTTTGGGCCTATAGAACGGCTTTCAAGACACTTATTGGCACCACTCCATATCGCCTTGTTTATGGCAAATCATGCCATCTCTCGGTGGAGCTTGAACACCGTGCTTTGTGGGAAAATCAAGAAGATAAACTTTGATTTAGAAAGTGTGGGGGAGAAAAGGTGGTTGGATCTTCATGAGCTAGAGGAGCTTAGACTTGATGCTTACGATTGTGCTAGCACCTACAAAGCTCGTTCCAAGGAAGCTCATGATAAGCTTATTGAGAAAAAAGAGTTTTGTATTGGCGATAAAGTCCTCCTCTACAATTCAAGAATGAAGTTGTTTCCCGGAAAGCTCATGTAAGATGGAGTGGCCCTTTCTTGGTGAAAGATGTTTTTGCTAATGGTGCCGTTGAGATTTCTTCTTTGGATTCGTCATCTTCTTTCAAGGTTAATGGTCATCGGCTCAAGAGATATTTTGATGGAGTGTTTGTTGGTCTTATTCATAAAATGATTCTTTTCAAGCCACCTTGAGTGGGGTGGTAAACGTCGAGCTAACGACGTTAAACAAATGCGCTTACGGGAGGTAACCCGGATTCTCACCTCTACTCTCTTTTCTTTCCTTTCTTTTATTTTTCTTTGTTGATTTTTTCTCTTACCTTTCCTTGTGTTTTTGGTTTGTTTTGTAGGTTGCCTTCATTCATCATCTATGGACTTAATGTGTTTGATGAAGATGGAAAAAGGAGAATTCAGAGTGCAGGGGAGAGGGCACCCCGTGGGCTTGGAGAGGCCTAGGGTGTCCTTGCTTCAAAAAGAGGGAAATCGGACAAGGAACTCTCTGCAGTCTCCCCGCGGGCTCTTCGCGGGCGCGGGTAGAATCGGAGAGGGCGCGGCCTATTTTCTCGAAAATGGATTAGGAACTCTCCGTGGTTTCCCCACAGGCTCCATTAAAGGCAAAGTCGCGAGAGGGCGCGGCCCCATTAAAGGTAAAAAATCAAATTTTTTCCAGAATTGCCCCACGGTTGCCCCACGGTCTCTCCGCGGGCGCTGGCTAATCACCGTGGGCGCGGCAATGTAGAGAGAGGGCGCGGGCACCTGGGTTGTATAGTAACCCGGCTTCACCCCTCTCTCTCTCTCTCCTCTCTTATTTTCCAATTCACCCTTATTTTTCCGCTTTCTCTCTCTTCCTCCTCTCAAACCCTAATCCCCAAATCATCTTTCTCACACAAATTCACCCTTGTTTTCACTCCATTTTCATCAAGTATAATCTATTTTTTCGTATTTTTTTCGGGAAATTCGAGTCCTAGACGGGTTTTTGAGCTTACTTTGAGTCTTCAATCTTGGTATACTTCTAACCTTTGTTTTATTTTTGTCAATTTCAATTGATTATTATACATTGGTTTTGGTTTGCCTTGATTAAGCATGACTATGATGTTTTTGGCAGTTTGTATGTTGATTTTGGATTTATTTTGAGTGATTTGTGCTTATTTTTCTGATAGATTGTTAATGTTGTTATTGGATTTTTTGTTGTTTTCTTGCTTGTAACAGGTACTTTGTAGTTTGTGGTGGTTTTGGGTGGTATTGTGAAGGAGTTTGAAAAATTGGTGGTATTGTTGGTGTTGATTTTGGGTGATTGGGTACTTTCTTGTGTTGGTTTAGCTTGAGACTATGGATTTGTTAAGGAAAGTTAAGAGTAGCAAGAAAAGTTCAAACCAATCCCCCGGCCAATCCTCCCAAGGCCAATCCTCTCGTAGCCAACCTTCAAACACCGAACCTCCTCAAAACCAAACTACTCAAGATGATACCCCTCCTCCTTCTTTACCTCCTCTCAAATTTCACAATCGGTCTAAACATGCCCCTATCTATAACAAAATGAAATCCTGGAAATTTAGACCTACCCGTAACTATCTTCCCGATGATATGGTCAAATTAGGAGTTGATGCCGATCTTGACATCTTGCTCCATAACCTTGGTTTGGATGAGTTTGTAAAGTCATCCCCGCGAACCTATTTGGTACTGTGCATTGAGTTTTTCTCCACCTTTGAGTATAATAGGACGGGGGATACCGAATATATCATCTCTTTCCAGCTATTCAATTCCAAGCATACCATGAACCTTGCCGAATTCAACAAAGCCCTTGGCTTCAACCACAATACCGATATCTATGAGCCCTTTGTTTCCCTTCTCAAGTCCGATTACAATGAGGTTGCATGGTGGAGAGCCATAGCTAAAAAGAAGGTGTTTAACTCTAAGGAATCACTTGCTAGTGAGATCATTCACCCAGCTCTTAGAATTCTTCATCGGATTCTTGGCTATACCGTGTTTAATAAGCAAG